TTCTGCACGTCAGCTCCAGCGAAATCACATTGACCCTGAACCCCAAGTACCATGAGCAAGAGGGTAAGTTCTTCATCCAATTGTAGTTGCCACTTACTGACTTTCCTAGATCCCGACTCTGCTATCAAATCCCTCTTCATGGAGACCAAGCGCTACGTGCTGTACATCATCCGCATCCAAACCGGCGCCAACCTCACCGAGATCATGTGCAAGCCGGTTACCCCCGATGACGAGAACCGCTGGGACGCTCTCGTCCGTGAAGAGATCATCGCGCAGCGGAAAGATCGTTCGCGGAAACAGAGCAACGTAGTCCGATCTTCTGCCGCTTCGACTTACACGCAGGACATGGGCTCCAACTCTGTACTTGATCTTGACTACCCCACACTCAAGCAATACTGTCTGGAGAACATGGTACAACTCCAACGCGCAGGCCGCATCTCGCACACCAACAACTACCAAGACCTACTCAACGCCATCGCGGTCGATATCCGCACCAAGCACCGAAGACGTATCCAACGCGCCAAGGAATTGGAAGGAGTACGCACTACACTGGCCGCACTCGACGAGAAGGCACATTTCCTGGAGTCGCAACTGAAGTCCTACAACGACTACATCGAACAAGCCATGGTAACGCTGCAATCGAAGAAGGGCAAGAAGAAGTTCCTCCTCCCCTTCACCCGCCAATACAACCACCAGCGTGAACTCAAGAACAGCGGTCGCGAGTACCGCTTCGGTTCCTTCAAATACTCCGCCCGCAACCTGGCCGAGAAGGGCATCCTCATCTCCTGGTCTGGATACCACGAGCGACAATGGGACCGCATGGACATCACCATCTCCAGCAACCAAACGGGTATCTTCGAGATCCAAGGTTCCCAGGGCTCCATGATGATCCCCGGTGCTTTCGCCGAGGTGCCCCTCGACGGCCTCCTCCAAGCGCAATTCGACAACCACCAATTTATGAATCTCTTCGGCGAAGGTGCTCGGGGTGGCGCGGCTGCCGGCGACGGTGTCGCCAGAGTCAACGTTAATCTGTTTTTGCATTTGATCTTCAAGAAGTTCTATCGGGATGAGTAACGGCATGCATGCAACGGCGGTGTTTGATAGGTGAAAGATGGGGTAACCGTGTTATACCTTTTTCTTTTTCTGCTTGTTGTTTCTGCATTTTATGGATGGTCGGGGGATCGGTGTTTTCTCTTTTTGTTTGGTTACGACCATGATGATATCGTTCGTCGCTTGACGCTTCTTCTTCTTCTTCTCTTCTCTTTCTTTTTCTTCTTTTGGACTGATACATACATATCCTAGCATAAATGCATCTTACATAATTTGTACTCAGAGTGTTGTCGCCTGTTCCTCTAATGGAGGCTTGTGATTTTGGGTTCGTGATATTCGCCTACGAAACCACCACTAATATTACAGTCATAACCATGCATCCATAACAAAGCACGCAGAGCTTTTATCGGTATCGAGCTCCCAAGCCTTGAGCTACTGACCTCGAACATTTGACCGCGTCTATTTGGCGACAATGCTGCGACCTATCTGCGCATATAATCCGCTATCCTCCATGACTGTGCCGCTTTGTGCGTGCCGGCTTGGGAAACCACCACACTTCAGCCAGTCCCTTTTCAGCATTCTGTTCAGTGTTACTAGTCGATTCGGTCTGTGTCGCTTTGGAGTCCGAATGCCTTAGGGCCAGATCAGTATGCGTATGAACAGAAACCAGTTTTCGCGATGACTTACTGTCGCTTCACCCTCTTCTCTGCCCTGTCATCGTTTTCTTGCAGGTACACTGGATCTGCCCTCCGCTTGAGTCGCAGAAGGTCCATGTCATTCTGTAGGGCGTCATCATGTCGAGTTTCTTCGCTTTGTCCTGCGCGCACGTCAGTTCTTCCAGATCTACAGTAACGACAAACTAGTTTCTGGAACCAGCATCAGCAGCATCAACCGTTCAAATAGGCTCTTGATCGTAAACCACAAGGATGCGCAAAGACACAACTCACCTCCCGCGACTGCATCGTTTGGCGCAGCGAAACCACAAGACTGGCGTCCCTTTTCGTCCACTAGTTCTTGACGAATTTGCATAAGCGCCTGGCCGAGAAGGTTTCTTCCAGGCCAGTTGCCCTTCTGTTTCTCCGCCTCCTCGAGCGTCAAGCCGCAGCCCCAAGTCATGTCTCTTGATGCCTCGACGATCTCGCGATCAGAGGTTGCGAGGAGGACTGCGCGGAGAGCATCAGACGACTCTGAGACGGTAAATTTCAAACCGACTGCCTTCAACATGACCTTGTATGAGACTGCAGCTTTTGATTAGCGATTTCTTGATTGTAACACGAGGACGTCATCATACTCTTGTTCCACTCTTTAACATCTAGGTTCTTGACCTCCTTCCCCAGTGCTTTGTGCTTTATGGGATCTGATGTTCTCATGATGGCATCGCAACATTCCTGTCAAGTGTTAGATTCTGGTTTCCTCACCGCTGCTTGAACTTACAGTGTCCATCGCCCAAAGCGCCTTAGTATGCTGGAAAAACTGCTCCACGCAGCCGTATTCCCTGTACTTCGGGGGACCGTAGGTAAAGATCGAATTCTTAAAGCTGCTTATATACATGTTGCTGAGTTGCCCGTAGACGTCCTGGGCACCGTAGAAGAGTATGGGGCCGGGCGACTCATCGGCGCGCGGCTGCTGAGACGCAGAATCAGGCTGGCGGCTGTATTCGTTTGCGCGGTCGCTGATGTACATGGGTGGTCGGTCTTGGGACTCCATGTCGCACGTCATGTTACTGTTCTGGACAGGTTGCGAGGAGAGAGAGAGAGAGAGAGAGAGAGAGCCAGACTTCGTTGTTCAGTCATCTACTTATGTGAGCGAAGATGCCTACGGCTCGCGCATTTTGTTATCTCTCACCTTGTAGCTCCACCTTCACCTGTCTCAATGAGAGGCCAAGGCCCAAATTTGAGCGGCCGGTGCGACAGCTTCGTGTGCTTGTCCTTCTGTCATCTTGATTGCCTCCGAGAAGCAGCAAAGCTACTTTCAATTTGTGTTTTGGTATCGTGCAATCTCGATTGGCATGTACTGCATCTATGTAACTAGCTGTCATGGCTAACTCGCGAGGTCATGCTGCACATCTTCAAAAACCATCTTTTGGATGTTTGGTAAATAACACACATTTTGCATGATAGCAAAGTCTTATCGTTCTCCCGTACACGTTTCCAGCCTTCAATTCGAGGCATGACAGCGGACATTTCAAGAAAGGAATGTCCGCGTCGCGCGGCCGGCGCGCGGATTGCGCGCGACGTCATCGCCTAGTGAAATTCCCCGTCTTATCCGAGGATGTGAGCTGCATCGCCCAGACACATCATTCGACGACATGTACGCCACCCTAACACCCTTAACTCGTGCCGAAGCCTACGTCAATGTTACTAGAAAGGTCGGGCTTCTTATAGAGTAAGATGCTTCAACGGACACGCGGCTTTGGGTGCTTGCAAGCACTGACCAGAGCTTCGTCCGGCAAGTACGCGCGTCGTCATGATACCTAGGTAATTTACGACCTGCGAGTAACATCGCGAGCGAACCGTACTCCCGAGTTGTTCTGTCCCTTTTAGTTGCTCTACATTAGCAAGTCTAGAATGGCACGAATCGTGTTCTCTTTCTGTATCTTGAGAGGCAGGCGACTACTTCCTTCAAGGCCGTTATGTTAAAAGAATACAGAATATCGAGACACTGATGTCACAATTTGCTGAACTTCAGCCGCCGTCAGCGCCATAGCTACGAAGACCAAGGTCAGCTTCAGCTTTCACGGACCGCCCTCCTTCGGGCAAGCCACAGCACTACCACCAGAATATCCGAACGCGAAAATCTCTTCGTCTTAAGAATCAATGCAGCTCTGGATTTCGTATCTTACCCAATATTTCCTGATCCTAAGTTCTCACCTAGATACCTACAAAGGAGCATCTCCAGATCCACAGCCCGGCAAAGGCGTATCTAGGAGGTATCGCGGGTTTTGCGCCTATCGGCCGGCCAAAGCAGAACGCAATGTATACTCCAGGGTACGTTACGACCACGTTCTCTAAGCCTAATCAATACTTTGTAGCCACAGCATACCCACATGCCTGTACAGATGAAGGGGGCGGTGATGGACCGTGCCTGTTGATTACGCCTCAAGGTAGAACTGCAGTGCCTCCACGACCTCTACGCAAACTCCCCTACCGCTGCGAGATGAAGCGAAGTGAACAATGAGCTGTGTCAGGTCTTCGACGGTGGTTATACTTCCCTTTCGAGATAATGGTACATTTTCTTAACTACATGCGATTATCTTATGAGAACCGCTCCTATATTGTAGTATCGCATCCCCCGATACTATGTATTCCAACAATGTGAAGTTCCACCGGACGTCACTGCACGTGTCCGATCGCAGCCTAGAGGCCCCTGAACACACGTTCCACATTTTGCGGATCGCGCACGAGCCGTTTCCCGCCACTTCACCGTTCCAAGTCCAAACTCGCCCGAACGCGACTTTCCAGCAACGCGCGACTTTAGAAAGTTCCAAAATGGACTCTTCTTCGCCTTCGGGCATTTGGTCAATTTGAAACGATACAGAGAAGATTAGCATGGCCCCTGCACTAAGGATGACACGCTCAATCAAAGAGAAGCTACCATTTTTTTTTGTCAATTTCAGCGACTTAGGGACGAACAAAACTCAGCTTGTTCGAACCACAGCGGTAGCAGAGGGCGACAACGGTAAAAGGGCTGCCTTCTTTTTGCTCAGAGGACGCGCTAGAGGGGGCTGGGTCAGCGTACACGGTCGAGTTTCACTGGCGGGTGGCGCAAGGGCCATGCTCAATCTTACCGCCTTGTAGGCATGAACATCAGTGATCACCTGCTGGAGAGCCGGTACATGCGGACGTAATCATGATGGGTATATTGTATCGTCGTATCTGGGTAGAGCCTGGAGGTATTCGTGAATATTCCCAAGCGCAAGTTGAAATCCGGAGGGCCATGTATCCTCCAGCCTATATTATCATCTCGCCGTCTTCGCCATCAACACCGCCTGTGTCGTCCCCGTCATCCTCATCCAGGTCTTCCAGTGGGTAGGTGAGGATAGCTGCGACGTTTCCGAGGCCCTCGAGTCGCTTCCCGCTCTCGTGCAATGAGCTGAGTACCCTCACTTCGCCACCCTCCACATCCCGCACTTGGTCAACTAGCTTCACCCATCGTCTCCGCTCTTTCACATCTTGTGCACGGAACAGGGCGTTGTTGATCATCAGCACTCCACCACCGCGCCCAACTGCGCCTTTGGCGACGGCGCGCTCCACCTCGCGCGGGCCGTACCACGCCCGGCCGTCATCTTGTCGCATGAGCGTGTTGAACTTGTCCATCAATGCCGTTTCGCGCGCGAATTTCGTGTCGGACAGCTTGTTCGTTATTGCTGGCGAGGAGAGTACCTCGTTGAGTGAGTGTACATGTGCTGATGACGAATGCGCGATAATTATCGTGGGTATGAGAGCCATGAGCGGCTTGTTGGTAGTACGTGTCGCTTCCTCCTTGATGTATTGTAGAAACGCCGTGGCTACGAAGCCCGGACTGGCGAGCAGCAGCGGCAGCGTCTTGCCTTGGGTTGTGCTAGAAGCATTCGGTAGATCGATTTGCCGTAGAAGCGTCGAAAGCGTCGTTGAGAAGAATCTGTCCATGCCTTTGCTGTGCCCGTCTACGCCACCTCTCCTCTTTCTGGGTACTGAGACCTCGATCTTTTGTCGTAGTATCGTCTGATGCTCAGTGATCATGCATATGTTCGCGGTACCTTCTCCCAGTACAACAGCCCAAAGTTCCGCTCGTTTCGACGCGTCGCATGCCTCTTTTAGTTGTTCCAACGCGACACTATCCCAACCGTCGGCTTTTTCGATGGTAAATTTGCGATTTAGCTCCAAATCCAATGTGTGATGTTGCCCTAACTTTACGTGCTCATTCTCCTTTGCTACGCGACCAGACACATGGAGTTGTCCGGAGCCAATATCAAAATCGGTCGAGGTTACTGCGATCGTGAGGTCTAGAGCGATTCGCTGCGAGGATGTTGAGCCGGCGTCAGAAGTCTTCGAAACTCGGCGAACTGCCTTGGCGCGTATTTGGTCGTTTTCTTGGATTAGGTTGTACGCATGCCACTGCGAATGTCAGTATAATGAAGCCTGAAGGAAGTCCAGCACTGTGGAGCGCCTACCATATCCTCTGGCTCCTCAGGCAGCAGGGTGACGAACCCCGCGCCCGTTTTCTGTTCGATTTGACTCTTGAGTAGCTTCATGATAGCGGAGCCCGACGTATACGTAGATTTGAAACTGGAAGTTGTGATTGCGGCGGAGGTAATGTAGCCGTCGCGCGTAGTTGTGCGCAGCCTGAACTTTTGGGAATGTAGTGACGCAACCGTGGGATGGAGGGGCACTACTGTAGTGGGGCCGACCCACTCTCGCGTTCAATGAGCGGAAGCTTGTTCGCAGACAATCGCGCGTCGACCCAAGTACATCAACTCATTAAGTCCTTTTATATCATCTAGCCCGTGCATCAGGACCTTGCTTAGTGTGGCCCGGAGGTATTCATTGAGTTTGGTGGCATCAAAAGAAGGTGAGCGGAGGTATGTAGTCCTCAAAGCAATCTTGAACCATGCAACTTTTACATGCGCTCATGGCTAATGTAGTCGCTGGATACATTAAAGTAACTAATTATATACAAGAATAAAGTTTAATCCATCCCCACGCTCTACCTGGACTTGATAATCTCAGCAGCCTTCTCACCAATACCGTACATGGTAGCCTGGAGATGGCAAGACGGGATGATAGGGATGATAGAAGCGTCAATGATAGACAGATGCTGTGTGCCGTAAACCATCAACTTGTCGCTGACACAGCCACCGTCCTTCTCAGGCATCATCGGGCAAGAGCCAGATGGGTGAGCGAGAGTAGGGGACAACATCGACTGGGCAAGCAGGGCATCGTAAATCTCCTTGTCGGAGGTGTATTGAGCACCAGGGACGGTCTCGGAGATCTTGTGGCTGGCGAGCTCGGGGCGGGCCCACACGGTGCGGAAGAATCGCATACCAGCGGCCATGACCATACGGTCGATGGGGTTGACAAAGGCGTTGTAGACGACGTTGGGAGGGCCGTTGGGGTTCTTTGCGTCGATGTAGACGGTACCACGCGACAGGGGCTTCTCGACACCGACAAGACCGTATGAGCCGTCCGCGGGAACGGGGAACTCGGCCACGGCGGCATCCTTGCGGCCGAAGATGTCAGCAATGACTGCACGCTGCTTAGCAAAGCCCTTGGCGAGCTTCTTGCTATTCTTGTAGATGCTAGGAAGGTAGTCGGTGGCGGTCTGGCTGTTAAGGGTGCTGATAAGAGACTTGAAGTCCTTGGTAATGTCAGGCAGGGAGATGAAAGCCAGGGCGTTACCGCGGGCATAGGTGTAAGGACCAGTCTTGTGCTCAACGTACTGCTCCCAAGCGGAAGCGTTAAATGTCGCGTTGGTCATCAGCGAGTTCTGGTTGGGGAAGTAGTTGGAAGTGGTGTTGAAGACAACGGTGGCGTATGGGTGGTCCTGGAAGTTGGAGCCTACAGCATCGAGCTCAACCTTGACGTCGATACCGGCAGCCTTCAGGACGGACTTGGGGCCAATACCACTGAGCTGAAGGAGCTTAGGTGTCTGGATAGCGCCCGCAGCCAGGACGACCTCTTTCTTAGCGTAGAAGGTGGAAGTCTTTCCAGTCTTGTCGGTAACCTCGACACCAGTAGCCATGAGCGGCTTCTTCTTGTTGTCAAAGATGATCTTGTCGGCGGTGGTACCTGTGAGGATGTGGAGGTTGGCACGAGTCTGAATGGGGTCGTAGTACGCGTAGCGAGCATGTGCGCGGCGTCCAGTGGTCGCATCCATGGTGTTGGCGTACCAAGAAGGACCGTAGGCTTCGCCGGCGTTTCCATCCTCTGGGATGTAGATTCCAGTGGCCTTCCACGCCGCCCAGTAGTCCTTGATATCCTCATATTGGTTGGATGTGATTGAGACCGTCAACGGTCCGTTACCGTAGGTCGACTCATCCCAAGTGATGTTGAAGTCTTTGACAACATCGGGAGTGGGAGGTTGGAAAGTGGTACCCTTGATGAAGGCCTCTTCCATTCCCTTCCAACCCCATCCTTTGTTGCCGAGAGCCTCCCACGCATCGTAGTCGGCAGCTGAGCCGCGGTCGTAGACCATGCCATTGATGACAGATCCACCACCGAGGACCTTGGCAACAACAACCTGGTACGATGTGTTGCCGATAGCTGGCTCAGGTAGGGAGTTGATGTTCTCCCAAATCAAACCAGCCGCAGAGGTCAAGTCATTGGCCTTGTATGGGATCTTGGTTGCATCGGTATCGACGTTGTCACCCGCTTCAACGACAAGGACAGTCTCTGGGGCTGATGTTAGTGAAGTTTTCGACAAAGTCTGGGGCTGAAACACATACTGCTCTTGTCCTCAGTGATGCGGTTGGCAACAATCAATCCAGTGACACCGCCTCCGACAATGACATAGTCATACTGGGGCTTAGCGGCGGCACCGAGAACTGGCGACAGGATTACAGCAAAGAGCTGAACAGCAACGGCTAACCTAGAGAATACAGGCATCTTGAAGGTCCAAAATATTAAGTTTAAACGAAAGTAAATTTGGATGCGCGCTGCAATGAACCTGTGAGGGTGTGCAGCCACTAGATGCTTTATACGGACCGAACAAAGTACTTACTCGCTGCTCGCATTGGTCGAGAACATGTTCGCCACGTGGGAAGGCCTACATTGCGGTGTTATCTTACCGAATTCATCCAGGAATTGATCGACCCACTAATACCGCGAGGGCGAACGATAGTCTGGTAAATTGTTTGTATGCCGTGGCGCAGCGCTGGCGGTTGCCATGTACAGATTCGTTCTAGAATGCGGACGTTAATCCTTCTGGTAGGGGTTCAGTAATCTGAACCTATAAACAGGCCGCATAGGGATCGTGCAATTACAACTCCCTGACTCCCGGTGAACATCAGGGACTTGTGGGCTCCGTTGCGGTCCGGGGCCGGGGTGCTAACGTTCTTCCACCAGAGAGATCAGGCTCATAACCGGCCAGCCGCAGCAGCAGTGAACATGGAAGCGAGGTACGTTCGGTGGTCTGATGTTGATGTGGGCCAATGAAAATCTCTGCGGCTCGTCGTAGAGAGCGCATCGTACAGAAGGACCGAGTTAGCGATTCAGGGTGCTCTTGCCGGATGTAGGCCCCACTTTTGGACGGGAGACAAGACATGGACAGATGTCCTCGGCCCCAGACCAGCATGTGATTGAGTTCAAGCTACAGCTCTGGCAACGGCAGCGGCGTACACGTTAAAAAGCTGGGGTCGGCACTTTCTAAGAACGCATTATGGCTTCGGAGATTTTGCAAAGGACTGCAGCAAAGGATGCCGCTCCTCTGGAACACGGCAGGTACATTGTTGCGGGATATGCAGCGTAATAAGGCCACCAGGAGACCTCGATCCTTGATTCGCCATCTGAGACCATCTCGGGGAACCAGGTACCATGATTTCGGAGAGTGGACGCGATTCGGGATCGATGGCCACCTCGCTTGCAGGAAACATACCGCTAAGCTTCCGATCCGCGTATCATTGCCTTCTCTTCTGCCGTATCGATAGCTTTATGGTGTCTTCGTCCATGGTGAGGAATGCCAGCGCGACGATGTCCACGTTGTCGTAGTCGACACTCAGATGCAACATGAATATCGGAAAGGCATATTCTCATGGGCGCACCATGGACTCCCTCCGCACGGCTGGAGTTGCGTCAGGATACTGAGTCAGGCGGCCCGCGGAGTAGTAAAGACCCGGTCCCCTTCAGCTCAATATTCTGCGTTCTTCCCTGTAGACTGAGTCTTAGGCCCGATTGCTGCTGCGCATCGGCCCACACATGCGGGCCAACGAGGAGAGCCCGAGGAAGGAGTGTGAAGTATCTTCTCTTTGGGCTCAGCCGCACGTTGACATGACATTGCGACACTTTGCAGGTCGACGATAGGGAATGTCGCAGCGCACATAATGGAATGTTCTTTTTGTCACTAGGTAGAGCGCTAGAATGAGAAGAAGGTCTTGGGCAGCTAGCGCCGTGAAAGGTGGCTTCGGTTCGTTCTATGTACCGGTGAGTTTGAGTATGCGGAGAATTCGCCCTGCATTTAGCTCATGCGCCAGCCGCACTAGCACCTCTAGCGCCGTTTGGCCTGGCACTCGCTACCACCTCTTCCACCATTCCCATCTCATGGGGCGATAGACGAAAGATTGCGCAACGTCCATGCGGCAACCCCGAGCACCGTGAGACGATGCAAGATCGCACGTTCGCTCTCTGACCGTCGGTTTAATGCACCCTTCCAGTGTTCCACCAGCGTTGCGACCATGGTAGGCGGGCCTGAGATCTGCAACAAGATCTACAAGATGCGTCGTCCTATGCAGAAGTTCTCATGCGCACACATAGCCACAATCGCGACTCTACATGGTGTGACCTGTTCGGTTGTACTTCTAAAGTGTACGCTTGAATCATGGTTTCCCGCCCACCCTGAATGCCGTTTTCATTGGGTGATGATGGGTTAAATACGCAGCATGTGGGGCCTCAATTTATGCGGCATCACTGCCAGATCAGCTCGGCGGCCGTCACCCTAGGATGCAGAGCTGGATATCCCCGTGTTGGATTGTTTCGAAAGTTGGTCTCGAGCGAGTGCACCTTCTTTGATCGATCTGGCGGCCTTCTCCCGTCACCCGCGACCGTGCTGTTTAGCTTTCGCTTCGCCCGTCTTGAACCAGAACGGCCGACGCAAGAGATGAGTGGCGCGAAGGAATATACTTGAAAACCCCGGGGCACTCCCGATCATTGAGTGGCTGTTTGCTTTTTCCTCTTGTTCACCGATTGTGACTTTTGCGATCCATGCCATTCCGCACCTGAACGACCCCGCTGCAGTGCATCATGGACGCAGGTACACAAGAATGGCCGGACCAACGCTTGAAGATCCTCATCCCGGTTTGGACGTTAACGGTGATTAGTACCGCTTTCTTGGTATGGAGAGTCGTGTACGGACTGCGATCACGCAAGTTCATTGCCTGTGATTACCTGTTGATCATAGCCACTGTGAGTCTTCCCCCAGTCCCGAAGATCGTCCCGACTGTGTGGAATTCGTCGCTGACACGAGTCCACCAGGCTCTCAACATCACAGCGACATCACTGAACCAGGTCGTTGTCAACAATGGTCTCGGGCGCCACATCATGGACCCGACGGTCTTTCCGAATCTCAGGACATACAGCTATCACCTTTGGATCACACAGATCGTCAGTGAGTTTGCAACTTCACGTTACCACCTTTCCATTGCTAACGGATGACTTCAGACATCATTGCCGTTGCCTTTCTCAAATGGTCCATCTGCGCTTGGCTGCTCGTCTTAAACTTCTCCAAATTGTACCAAGTTATCGTTTGGCTCTCGATCTTGATGGTCACCGCCTTCAACTTCCTTGCACCGGTCTTGACGCTATTCGGATGCACACCCCTGGAACGGAACTGGAACTTCGGGTTTACCGGGGAAAGCCATTGCTGGGCAAAGGGCACACTCGCACTATCCTATACCCAGGGTATCAGCAACATCATCACCGACGTGGTGTATATGGCTGCGCCTCTGATCTATCTTTCGCGCGTTCAGTTGAACAGTCGAACTCAACTGGGTATCAGGATCGTTTTCCTGCTGAGTATCCCGTAAGCGAACAAGCTTCACAGTCCCTATGAGTGAGCTACCACTGACGTCTCACAGTGCCACGATATGCTCAATCTTCAAAACTATCGAACTCAAAGCCATCACCAAGACGCAAGATCCTACATGGGACGGCGTGAATCTTACCATCTGGTCCAGCTCCGAACTCTCCATCGGCATCCTCATCGCATCCCTCCCTCCGCTCCGCAAAGCATTCGATCATCTTTTCAAGAAGTTCATGCCCTCGACATTGACGGGCTCGGGCAAAACGCCACACTACGGCTATGGGAACTCTAGCGTCGCACAAGGAAACAGCATTCACATGAAGAACTTCCAAGGCAGCAAAGCCTATCACTCTAGGCTACCTGGCGAGAGCATCCTTGATGGCGACGACGAGAGCGATCGGGCCATCCTTGACGACGACCAAAAAGGGTCTGGTATCATGAAGAGCACAGACGTACAAGTCACTGTGACCAATGATGTCGGAGAGGCGGGGAGTAGTTCCAACTCCAAGAGTGGGGGGAGCCCCAAGATGTATAACCCTGAAATCGACTGGGCAAGTCCACACTTGGAGAATGGGGAAGGACCGCGCCGGTCTCGGTAATGGGAATATTTTTAACGGCCGAAAGTCAGGATTTCGTTTGCATCTTTAGTCTAGGCCAGTAGGAAGGAGGCTGAGCCGCTCGATAGTTGGATACCCAGGTACTTTTTTCTCACATGAAACGACTGTAATATGTATGGCGCAACTGGCTCATGATGACGCAAAGACATTCATTCGTACTAATACCAAGTCTCTTTACCATGTGCCGTCGCTTCTGACGTGATCTAGTCTCCCAATGAATTAATGTCAAATTTAAACCTTGGCTTCGCAAATGGACTTGGGGATGATATGCTATTCGTACCAAGTACCGAAAGGAGATCGCGGTCATTGTGGAGAGATAGTGCCAGAGCCATTCGCATACATTGACATCAATAACTAGCGCCACCATTATGAGGTTTTCATGTTCAAGTAAACATATCGCGGAGATTAAGGCCAGTCGTGCGATACACCGTTCGTGAATTTCCCTTTCGCTTCGATTCGTCATATCGTTGTGGGAAGTGCCGCATACGCCGCCAACTATGCAAATACACTATGTGAGCTGCTAAACCTAGCAAATATGCACCTCAAGCCAACTTGTACCAATGAACCACGTTCGCCTTCATTTCACGCGTAGAACGATGACCGAATTAACGACTTTAGTCCACGGATGTACTTCGGCAAGAATCTCGACACCGATGGATTGGAGTTCTTCTGACAGTTCCATTATCTGTATTTTCATTAATGACTACTGCCTGACATGACTGCACTGGAAGTCGGTGTAAACATACCGGATATAACACACTTCGCATACCCTGCGCGCTCCTTGCCACCACCAATGTACCTGGCACCAGTTTCTTCACCATGCTTTTGAGTATGTTGAGCTTCGTGTACGTATCTGTACCAACCAGCGCAGCAAGGAAGACGACCTGGCACGATTGCCATTCGGAGTTTGACGAAACCTCGGTAATGTCTTCACAAGCGAAACTCATGCGCTTGCCATAGCCTAACCGCTTACATAACGATTCGCTGACTTGAAGCGCGGAGGCATCGCGATCCACGTTATGCACTTGCGCGTTAGGATAGCGGTCCAGGAAACAGAGGGAGGTCAGAGGTAATGGACCGGAGCCGATGAAAGCGATTTTGGACGGTGGGCTGGGGAGGAACGCTTCTATGGTAGAACATTCCAAGCGGGAGAGATCGACGTAATTTTGGTGGTAAGGGAAAGTTGTCAGAATGTCCTCAGGTGTTGTGATTGTACCTAAAGAAAGTTAGACTTGTAGTTCAGTGTGATGCGTGATTGCGCTGCTCTTACCGCTGATGTCGTTGAGCATGCGCTTTGCCCAGAAGTTCTCCAACTCTCCTTCGGCTTCTGAACATAGCGGTCGCAAATTGGAGCAAAGGCTCTCTGTGGCAGGTATACGGAAAAAATACGATGTAAATTCTGCGCTGTAAGGTACGACGCAGAGGTTTACGAGTCGTGTGAGGAGAGAGTTGACTTGCTCCGACGGCGCTAATGACGATAGTTCGTTGAGTACCGTGTATATGTCCCTGATCTCGGAAACTAGCTGATGCGCCGCGGTACTGGTCGCATTCGGTGTGATTGGGGGTGTGACGGTAAGGGACCCGACAGGGGCAGTAGGTTTGGATAGTTCTGCAGTGGGCTTACGTTCGATGGTCGTCATGATGAGGTACGAGTATACGTGTTTTTGTTGTTTCTGTTGTCAGGTAGTACTGCTGTATTTGAGTGTGTGATCAAGATGCAAACTATCAGTTTAGCAAAGTTTTATACGCTACTGCGATTGTCAGCTGCGCCCGGGAGAATCATCAACACGAGCGTGCATGTGTAGACTAGGAAAACTCTTTCTCGCATTTGCCATGTGTCAAACGCATTGAGCGGTAATGGCGTCTGTCTGGTTGGCTGAGTACCCTGATGGTCGTGTGGGATAGTGAGTTGTGCTAGGGATGGCCCGACATACAAGCGGGACCTACGCTCAATGTAGTACAAACGTGTGGGGTTGAATGCATGTTGGGCATAAAGAGTTGAAGGCACACCTATAGACGTGATTCCAATAGCAAGGACACATTATGACCCGCAGCCTCAACCCCTGGCGGCAGTATGCAGATCAATGACCCCTCTCTTGCCGGCAGCCTACCGCTCGAATTTTCTCGAAGACTTTTGATTGACGGCCGCCGGAGCCGTCCAGTCGACTGTGCTGCATCAATGGCTTGCCGAGCTGATGTCAGGCGTTGGCCGGCGGAGGGAGATCTCGCCGCTCAACCTCTCTACCGAACAAGATCTTCATGACCGGGCCGTTAATAGACTCGTTTGCCGCCCACCCACGTCTCTTTCACTGTCACCTTTCTCAATGCTTCTGGGTCCAGCGATTCAAGTTGTTCGTCGAGAACAACCCAGTCAGCATACGCCCCCGCTTCGATGACACCAGCTTTGCCTTCTAAGAAGGCACCATATGCAGCGTTTACCGTAAAACCCTCCAAAGCTTGTTCGAAAGTGAGGCTCTCTTCGGGATACCAGCCAGCCTTGCCACCGCTAGGGTCCAGTCCTGTACGTGGACTTCGTCGCGTGATTGCCGCATACATTCCCTCGAAGATACTCGCGGGTTCGACTGGGAAGTCGCTACCGAGGACTGGACGAAGTGGTAAGAGCGACCGCATTCGGTACGCCTCATCTTTTGTTCGTTGCTGGCCAAGCCTGCTCTCCGCATAACCCATGTCCGAGGTCGCGTGTGTGGGCTGTATTGACGCAATGATACCAAGTTCTGACATCCGGTGCTGGTCATCTGGATGGATGATTTGGGCGTGCTCAATGCGGAAACGACGTTTAGCTTGACAGTCGCGGAGGTTAGCGTGGGGACACAAGCGTTTCAACGCCGCTTCAAACGCGTCAACCGCAAGCCTGTTAGCAAGATCCCCAATAGCATGAATATTAACTTGGTACCCTGCCTTTACGGCCCAATCATATGTCACACGTGACAGCGTAGTCGCGTTGACAAGTAAAGAGCCGGAGGACTCCGGTTTGTCGCTGTACGGCTCGATCATAGCTGAGCCCCAGGAGCCCAAAGCCCCATCTGCACATTGTAAGTCACTTGTTGAGAGTGGGCCGTGTATACAAACCTCCGAAAAGCTTGACGCTCTTCACATGAAACCGGCCATTCGGAGTCGAAACTTTCCTGACCGCCTGGGGACAAAACGTGTTCCGGACGTCGCATTCGATCATCGCATTGACTCTCACAGTCCAGTCCGGGTCGTTCGCGAGCTCTTCGTATAGCTCCAAATCTGCCGGCACTACACCGGCGTCGTGCATCCCAACAATACCATGTTTGTTCAACTCTGCCATCGCAGTCTTAATGAACTCGGTTTTGCGCGCTTTTGTCGGCTTTGGGTAATACTCCAGCACGATATCCATGGCATTGTCGCAGAAGACACCCTTTGCCGGCACTTCGCCTCCGGGAGGTATACTGAATGACGGAAGAAGATCAAGCACCTTTTCAGATACCCCTAAGATGAAATTACTGAGTTAGATTGAACTCATGCTCGATTTCCAGAGCTGACTCACAGATGCAATGAACATCAACCTGCGCGAAGTCAGTATATGTGTCGCTCCCATTTCGCACGGAGAACTAACACGATCAAGCATAACGTAAAGATCCTTGAATCTCTCATCTATCTCCAAATCTGCCTAGATGAAGTGTCAGTATCAGCACGGTCACTTCAGCGCGTCTACGTTCATCAGGTCCAACGTACTGCAGTTGGCCACCTCCCTTCAAAATGAGCTTGGTCCCAACCGACGCCCCGTAGCCACTGCTCACTAGTTCCTTTTTCTGGACGGACTGTCTTATAATCCAACAGTCTCCTCTTGATCTCATCCATTGAATCGGCGCCAAAGAGGCTCACTGAATCTAGAGATTCTCCGAACTGGATCAAGTGACCGTGTCCATCCCAAAAACCAGGATACACGTAACCTGTGCGGGATTCCTTGACCGCATCAGGGGCTGCATTGTCTACAAAGACACTGGAGAATTTGCCGTCGTGGGTGGTAAAGCACTCGGCATGCGGGAACTCCGACGAAAGCGTTCTGACAGACTTGTAGCAGTATGTGGGTACGAAGAGATTTGGAAGCAACGTGGATGGTACGTATTCGCTGATGAAAGCGGGCAGCCCTAGCTGGTAAATTAGAGCAGCCAGAACCACAGGCAGCGATACCGAAAGAAAAGTGGGAAGGGTAGGCATCATGCCCTCTCAATTCACGTGGGCAATGATGGGGGCTGGTGTCACGAAGATCACGGGCAAAGGAAATTTGGCAATCGATAAGCGAGCGCCGATGACGCGACCGAAAAAAAAAACGACATCCTGGCTCGACGCGTTTCGAAACGCAAAGTAGGCCGCGTCATATCGCGTCAGGTCGCGTCGTCTACGAGATGCGCAAATGCTCACCTGGGCAAGAAGACGATAATGCGACTACAGTGAGAAGTCAAGAAAGCAGCTCTGTGGTGGTCACGTGATGTGAACCCTCGCGCCGGCTCAGCTCCCCGCTCCCGAGATCCCAACAAAGCAGCAGAGCTTCCAGAAGAGCCTCTACCCGCGACGCGGAATCATCTTTACTTTGTTGGAGACAGCCCTCGTGCTCGACTGCTCGATCTGAACTGGCTTGCGACTTGAGCATGTCCAATTGGAAAAGGGCGGTGAGCGACCCTAAGCAGGCGTGTTGCATATTTTCCTCACAACTCCTTCATACAACCGGTGTGCATTTACGCATTAGGCCAATGGCCCCTCTTCTGATCGCGGCTCTGGACCCAGCTCCACCCTAGCTCCACCTTGGCATAGATGAAGATTGGATGGGAAACTTGAATGCTGAATTGAAAGGCTGGGCTTCCTGCAGCGCTAGTGTGGGGGCCGGATCCTAACAATCCTACACGACATAAGCAGAACCTTCTGTAAAGTTCGATTTCGAGAACAGCTTTCGCATGTCGGGTCGCACGACTTTGAACACTACAGATGGCAACGACTGAGATTGACGATCTTCGGAAGCAGCTAGAGTCGCTCCAGCGCTCCCATGAGGCGCTGCTGAAAAGCTTATCAGCAACGAACGACACCTTCAAATCATCCGACGCCTCACAACTTCGCCGCACATCCACACGACATGGAGGCGATGCTATCTTCGCCGATACCTCGACGCTTTCTGACGACAGCAGCGATGAAGAAGACGACTACTTTGTCCAGGACGAATTACCGTCCCATTCGTTCGACCATGAACATCTACGTGAGCATCTGAAGACGCATAACTGGACTGAACATGGCAGAGAGATTCTGGCATCGATCATCTCTGATCCCGCGAAGCTTACCAAACAATCTCATCTCTTCCACATGGGGCCCGGGCCAGCAGATGACCGGAGCCATTATTCGCACTTCCAAGTGTACAATGTCGGAACCAACGGTTTGCCTGAGCTGATTGAAGTGACCGGTCCTGAAAATAACATGAGCCGGGCAACTGAGATTTGGCATGCGCTGAGAGACGTTGGCAAGCAGCCGGACCAAACAGTGGTTGGACGTATCACCATAGCGCGAGAACCTTCACCAATCTTGTTTGGTGCACTTCATCTGACGCTGAATGATGCCTTTGACATGGACGAACTATTCCGGCATCTAGTCGAAACAGAAGCTTCATCTGCGCATATGTTCCGAGCCTTCAATCAGAATCCTAAACACCAAAGGACCTTTTTCTTCAACTTCGAATACTATACTATCGTTGGAGATGACTGTCAGCCCATGCAATGGCAGCGTGCGGATAAGATAACGGGTCAATCTGATCATCATATACCACTTTCGCGGTGCAGTGCAGTCGTTGCGCTTGTCCTTTATGACGACAAACCACGCCGCATCCGTAACAGGGGAAGACGTGCGAAGACACAGTTCGGATGGGTGCACGATGTCTGGTCGCCATGGCAAGTCTTGCAGCTGGAGAGTTTCCCGGACTGGAAGTCGACACCAGCTAATGGAACGCCATACACCTTCGAAACTGGCCACAAATATCTTAACGGTGCAGAAGCATTCCTTCATGCTCTACTCACGGAATACCGGGACGCGAGGAAGCGATTCGACGAAATCTACAAGCGGATTACCGACTTAGTCACTCCGCCGCTGGGCTTCCTGTTTAGCGAAGAGTTACGCCGAGCCCGACTGTTCGAGGACAAAGACTTTACCTGGATTCGCAGATACTTCTACGCACATCAAACCTTGGGCAACGTCAACAATAGCATTAAATCCATGATCGACGCTTTTGAGGATTGCTTCACCGACGATATATGGGAAGGCCAGAACAAGACGCTCTGGCCGCTCTTCGAGGAGTCGCCGCGCAACGATCACTGGAAGCGGCGTTTGCGGACGTTGCGGCTTCAATTCGAACGGGAAATGAAAGAGCTTAGGATCATTATCTCGGAAAATAATGAAAGACGGCATGAGATTGAAACATTGCAGGAGCAGTTGTTCTCTGGTACTAGCATCCAAGAGTCCAGGAAGTCTGTTGAGCTAGCAGATGTCACCGTGCACCAAGGGTACAACATCAAGGTCTTGACCATCGTCAATCTCTTCTTCATGGTAAGTGCATATGCCAAATTCTACAAGCTCTCAGAACAGATGACTAACGAATTAATAGCCTCTCACATTCGTAACTTCCGTTTTCGGCATGACAAACATGCCTGAAAGTCCGGCAAACTTCACGCCATTCGCCATCGTCTTGGTGACAATTTGCATACCCTTCTTCAGCATCATCGGCTTCCTCTCGACAAAATATGGCTACAGCATCTGGGCGCAGAAAACGAAGGAATTTTGGCGATGGCTACGACCAAGGACGCAGCCGAAAATTCCGAATGACACAGACTTGGAGCCCCCAAGGCGCGTAGATAGGACCATGTCGACGGAAGAGGGTATGCGGTTACGACTTAGAGGGGCAGAGCATATGCCTATGGGAGTCGGGGTGGGCATGGGAAGGAGGAGATCAAGTCAGAGGCCTGCGCCCTCGCATCCGCATATTCAGCGTATGGTGGAGAGGATGGGTGAGGGAAGGGAAAGCGGGCTGACGCGATTGGGAACTGTTGTGGCTGATGATGAGCACTCAGACCATAGTAAAGAGAAAAATGGTAGTACGGGGAGAGATGCCGTCATCGATATCAAGGAGGGTTAATACAATTCCTTATCAGATAAACTCGCGGCTCCAAGCACACACTACATATCAAAAGCACTCAATCCATCCATATCACTCGGCCCGTTCCATTCTTTGGGTAGACTCCACTCGTTTCCATCTCCCAGTGGCATGAAATCCAGATTGACTCCATCAATCGCACCACCACTAACACCACCACTACCACCTGTACCAAGATCATCAAACGCGCTCAGCTCGGGGAAATGCGCATTAGCAAGTTGCGAAATCGGATCGTGAGGATCAAAGTCTGCGCCCATCCAGGCCCCAGAGTTCCGGTTCATGTGTGAAGAAGAAAGGGTGGTGGAGGGGGTGGACATGTTGTGAGAAAGCTCAGGAGGTTCCGATATGCTGGGCCAGCCGACACTACCGAGTTCCGAACGTGGCGTCACCAATACGTACCCATCGTTGTTTTGAATTGGGTCGTCGAACCGGGGTGGCGGAGGAGCTTTGATGCTGAGCCCATGTCTCCCTTGATCAGATGGCATACTCATTGTGGTACTCATACTCATCGTTCTCGTCTTTCTGTTTCCGCCTGTGCCGGCTCTAGGTCTTCCGCTGCTGGTCTGCCTTTTCTTGGCCCACTGCTGGTTGTCGTTCATGTCGGCGTCCATATCTATTGTGCTGCCTCTTCGCGCGGGTACTGTCGAGGATGCGGGCTTGTACAAGTTGAACGAAGAGTTGGGGGGCTCGGGGCCGCCGCGTAGCTCTACCATCACCGCACGGAGTACGGTAGACATTCGCTCCGCAGGTTGATAGGTAGATGCCATGTCTGAGAGAGCGGCGGACAGACATTCGAGGTACTGCATGTTGTTGGCTCTGGAGGTGGGGTCTTTGATGAACGCCAAAGCTGCTACGAGGGCGGTCGCCGCTGTACCCTACGGAAAATTGTCAGTAAGAGAGACGAAAAGGCTCGGTTACTACATACCGCATGTTGCATGCCTGTTACGAAAATTTGCTTCGTATCGAATCGCTGTCGATGTTGCCAATATATCCTTGCTACGCGAATAGCGTGTTTGGTGCACACTGTCCTACTCAGCGCAGAGAAATGGTCGTCAGGTCCATTTTCGTTGCCTGCTTGGTCTTCATACAATGCGAACGGCCGATGTAGCAAGATCAAGCTAGCGTGGTACTGCTGATGCAACAAGAAGAACGAGAATGGAGCAGTCGCAATGTTGGCTGGTGTCCAGCGCAGTTGCTCGGGTAGTCTAGCGTACCAACTGCTGAACTCGCGGTCCAGCGCTGCCATGCGCATATACTGATTTCGATCTACGGCGGTGTGTGAGTCGGAAGCAGCGTTTTGCGAGCGATGCGGATCCATATTCTCGGTAATCTTTCCTGCGAGCTCCATAAGATCGAGGAGTGCTTCGTAGATCATGGTCTCCATGCTCTTCCCCAGTCCAGCCGGTCGACAGGTGCCAAGGCGCTCAAACTGCTTTGTCAAGTTGTATATTTCAAGATCGGAAGGCTTCATCGAGGTCGGCCGGCCCAAGAAAAGTGCCCAGTATTTGTCGTAGATGACGCATGCCCAAAGAGTCATTTGGCGGATCTCGACCTCGCGTTCTGGAAGACCTGAGAGTCGTGTATCGAGGTGGAGACTATGTAGACGTTAGTATACCACTGAGATATCTTCCAGTAGAACATACCCGATATCGAAAGCAAGTCGCACAGCCATCCCGCCGTACATCCAGCCCAGGTTATCTCTACCGACGCCGCACTCGAGGTCGCCTAGCAGAAGCAATGCAACTACGCTCGGTATTCCACCCGGTCTTTCCAGCTCATGATCCAGCATGTACTTTGCTTCGCGATGTAACGTGCTCTCCATGCCCGGTAATCCAATTCTTCTAATGTCGAGTCTTTCCTTGTTTGCGAAACGGTAACCCATGGCCAGAACACAGACATGTAGGAACCCAGAATAGAACTGTGTATGGCCCATCTCGCGGTCTTCGTTGAAAGCATCTTGGTGCAAAACATGGATGACCGGGTTGTAACATTGCCAGAACAGATCCATGAGATAGTCGTATGTTTCCAGTGGAAGAGAGCGGATGATCTTGTCGGCGCGTCGAGCCTGCTCATTCATCTCTTGTGTTGCGCCGAAGGGGTTGACCGACTCAGAATGTACATGGCAGTTTGTTGTTGGACCGAAGTAGCGGAGGCGGCCGTTCAACTGATCAAAGCTAAGATGGCCTCGAGTAGAGAGGAGACGGTTGACCATACCATCTTTCTTTGGAGGTGGTAGCATAGATGGCGAGCCCGCGCTTTCTGCATCACCGTTTGAGAAACGAGGACTATTCGTGTTCATCTCGTGCTGTTCGAAATCAGGATAGTCATCTTGTGGGCTTTGTTGACTGCCTGGACTGGAATGGTTTTCGTTGTTGTGCGCTTGGGTTTCGCTTGCTTTCTGGGTGGGTGATGTACCTTCTTCGTCGGGTTGAGGGTTATGGCGGGTTTTGGGAGGGTGATTCGCTGGGGGTAGCTCTTCGCCTCGCTCCTTCAGCATTGTTTCTAGTAGTGCTACGCGATCGGTGAGAGAGCACATGTATGCCCTCGAGATAGGTCTGTACAGGTGTCAGCTTGGTATCAGTCAGTAAAGACACATTACATACCGTCGTCGTTCGTCGTCGTTTTTGATGACGCATTCCACCCCTGATCGTTTACACTGTGTACACTCTGTCTCGCCGGGAGGTACTACACACTGCAAAGTCGTCAAAACGTATCGTGGAAGCAGATAGAACAGACATACTCGTATCCGGCGGTCTCGGCACGACGCGCAAGCGACTGACGCCCTGTGTCGAGGTTTTGAAGACTTTCCTTTCGTGGAGCCCTTCTCCGATGTATTCTGCTCCTGCTTGCTGCCGGCTTTCGAGGCCGGTTCCGGTGAGCGCTGTTCGCTCATGTTGTTATCAGGTGCTGCCGATCTTTCGTTGGCCATCGATGGTGCCGCTTTTGGTATGTACGGGGGATGGTGTCTCGCGGACAGACGTCAGCAGGGAATCACACTACTTGTCGCAAAGCGTTGTGGATGTTGCGGGGAGAGGAGTCGCAGACCGGACAGCGAGGACGACTGTCAACCTAAACTCCGAGTTCCACGAGCATGAAGTGACCCAGGCCTAATCTAGCCCTAAACGTTAACCGCTAGATTTTGGAGAGGTTTAGGCCTTCAACTCGTGGAGGTGGGGCCCCGCAGTTTCACTGTACTGGGCATCTCCAAGCTATGCGACCACGTTGGCTTTTGGCAAGCTTCTTCGTAAATCTAGCAACCGAACGACATGTACCTAGTAATGCTGTCGGCTCGACATGCTCGGAACGAGCTGCGTACCGGATCTGACGAATCATGACCCCAGAAGAGCGAGTGCTTGCAGAATCGAGAACACCGTGCTCAAGGCCAAACCTACGGCATGGCTTAATTTCCCTCTCCACACGCTCGTTAACCGGCATTGAGCCGATCTTTGCGGAGAAGCCTACAGTTGACGTAGGAGTGCATTGCGGATCGCTTGGTTGGAGGAACAAGTCACTCTGTCGCTTCGAGGCCATCGTCACATGAACCTATGGCGTCAGTAGTTCGCATCTGAGCTGAGTCTGGGGCTGCTCTGCATTCACCCAAAGCCCAATTGCAGGCCATAGCGCAGTGGGGCGTCGTCCCTATGCGACGGTAGTCGGGAAATCACGATTCGTGTTAGGGCAGAGTGAGTCTTCAATCCGGGGTACATGAGTCGAAAGACGTCGAGATGAGCGGGGTCAAGGCTTGCGATTGGGGTGGCGGAGTCTCGGAGCTTGTAACCATCGTGATGTTTGCTTCTTGGCGGTCGTTTTGGGACTAGGATGCGAGCATCCGAAGCATGCATCCATGGACGCAATCAGACTAGCCATAGTCACTATAGCTCGACACGCACACCAGGTCCTAGCGAACTGCGACAGAAGCCGTGCGCGATTGAGGGGTCTTGACGGCTGTGAGAGCTGCCAGTCACCAATATTAACTTTCTTCCAAACCATTCGGGGTTGCCGAAGTGATGGGCACGCATGCATGCGCGATGCAAATGAACCAAAGAGTAGCAGTCTGTCAAAAAAGAAAAGTAAATTATGAACCCTGACGGGAAACGCCCAGCACGCTCGGATGCCAATGGAAAGAAAACAACCCGAAATCCGGGCCCAGATCCAGTACAAACAAGCGACGGTACGCCTGACCCATCGACAGATGTCAGCTCGGCCGCCTTTAGTCAACGTCCCATTCGTGGTCCCAGTTGCGAATATAGGGGCTCAAGCCATGCATATCCTTCATTGCCGTCGCCTTCACATCGCCGTTGCCTAAGAAAGCGAACCGGTTCTTGTATCTGTATACATAGTCGTAGTCTTCCCAGCGCGGTGTCTTGATGGTTTTGAGGAAGTGTATCGTCTGCATTGAATGAGTCAGTCGCGAACAGCTTTGTGCGGGGTTGATAGGAGATGCGCGCATAAGGTCGGGTATGCGCGACACCACCGTTTATTGGGACAGGGATACATGGAAGGAAGCGCAACATAAAATCTGAAGGGTACTTACGGCACCAGGCCACAGATAGATCCTGTTCTTGATCTGTCCGTTCTTGAACCAACTCCGGCACTCTTCTTGCCACACTGTCGTCTTGTGGAACTCATCAAAATGCGCGTAGATCTCATCTAGGGCGTCCTGCTTCACGCTCATAGCTTTGATGCCTTCGCTCTGCATCTTCTTCATGCACTTGATGCTATACTCTACAGTTGTCTCGATCGATGGTAAGAGCGTGCCGTTACTCCATGTCGCGCCAGGTCCGACAATAGTGTAGAAGTTCGGGAATCGAGGAGCGGATACACCCATGTAGAGGTTCGGGCCGGTGGTCCAGTCTTCTTTGATGGATACGTTGGAGCCGTTGCGAACCGTGAAGGCGGGTTGGAATGCGACCTGGAAGCCAGTGGCGCAGACAATGGCGTCGAGTTTGTGGATCTTACCGTCCTTAGTCTTAATACCTTCCGGAACTACTCGTTCGATGCCGTCGAAGACTGGAGTTACGTTGTCTTGCACTAAAGCCTCCAGGAAGCCGTCTCCGGGCGAGATGCGCCGGCAGCCAACGGACCACTTGGGGATTATGAACTCTTTTAGCTTCTCGTGGCCAGGCCCCATACGGCGGTGCATCTCTTTGGTGATAACATCTTTGAACTGGTTCTGGAGTTCTGAGTTCTGCTGGTACATCCCGAACAAGCTGTTGATCTCTGCTTCGATCTTCTTCCGGAACTCCAAGTGATACTCCGGGTCTTCCTTGAATTTCTTGATGTCGGCTTCGGTGAAAGTGTACTGCCGTTGTCCAGGGTCGACATCTTGCCCCTTCTGGAGGTCGTCGTTCAGTGCGCCGGCGCCGAACGGAGGCGATATCCATGTCGGACTCCGCATGTATACTTCCAACCCCTTGACGACCTTTTGAAGGGATGGTACGATTTGGACGCTGGTCGAACCAACGCCGATGACGGCGGCGTTGATGTTTGTGAAGTCGACGCTGTGATCCCAGCACGCGGAGTGGAGGACGGGACCCTTGAAGTCGTGAAGACCTTCAATGTCTGGCCATTTCCAGTTGTTCAGAATGCCTATTATCTGTTAGGCGTGTAAATATGACGCTGGTCTAACACTCACCTGAACCGTTCACCAAGACGTGCGCCCAATCTTTCCTCATCGAGCCAGTCTTGGGATTCCTGATGGTAAGGCTGTAGCACCCATCCTCATCGTTCCAGTTGGCTTGCTCGATCCTGCTGTTCAACTGCATGTACTTCTTGCTTCCATGTCTCTCGGCGAAGTTCTCGAAATACCCCTGGATCTCCTTCCCTGCTGCGAAGAAAGTCGACCAGTCGGGTTTCGGGTCCCAGGTGAAGTTGTAGTCATGCGATGGAATATCGCATGCGACGCCGGGATAGGTGTTCTCGTACCATGTTCCGCCAAACTGTGCGTTCTTCTCAAACAACGTCAGCTCCCAGGATCCAGGCTCCAGCATCTTCTCCATCTTGTAGGCTAGACACAGCCCTGATGCACCCGCGCCAACACATGCCACTCGCAGCTTGGCTGGCTTGGAATGATATTGATCCAGGGTTCTGTAGGGTCCATCAACATGCGATGGTGGGTAGTCGTAGTTGTGACCGTAGCCGTTGACGTTCAGTCCGTTTGGCATCTCCGAGCCCCCCATCGTGGCGGTTGCTAAGACTGGTAGGTGCTATCCCAAAGGAGAGTGACAGATACGTGATCACAGAGATAAACCGAAAAGCGAGAAGGACAAAGTCGATAGGGTATGCTGAGATGCAGCCTCGAAGACAGTAGATAGAGCTTGAAGATGCTACTCAATCAACATAAAGAAGATAGCGAGGCAGCCCGACCACTGTATCGGGGCGAACCAACATCTCTGGAGTGTTTAACCGCGCCTCGGATGTCTTCACACATCTCACTGTACACCTCCTCGCACGCCGGTTGGTGCATGGCATGCGGCATAGATTAGGCCGGTTTTCGCAGGCGCTGCGACCGGTACGTGAACGCGTCTGGGTTCGCGCACTGTCTTGCTGTATTAGCCAGGCCGAGATGCATGACTACGGTAATGCTTGTGGCGGCATGATGGGTGTCAAGGGTGTGCATCTGCTGAGGGGTTGCGGATGTACTTACGCGGGGCTGTTCAGGTGCGATCCAGCATGAACTCAAAGCTGGCAAGGTCACGCTTGCCTACTTTGGGATGTGTGGGGAAGGCGGGGGTAGTCGGCAAGAGCGACATGTCATGAAAGCTGAGTTTCGTAAAGAACATTGATTCATGCAAAATGCAGTGTACACGCGTGATCTCATGATCAGGCGTCGGGTGTTGTCGTGTTCACGCTCGTCTGGTGTTAATCCCATTGCAGGTACTCTGAAAGCGGATGAGTGCCAGACGCATCATGTTCGGATACGAAATAGCCAAAGATGTGCTGTCGCTGATATTGCGTGCAGAAAATGACTATAGTACAGGGCTGTCTAGAGTCTAGCCTTGCCCATCCTCTCAGCGTCCCTCTTCGCCCATTCTTTGACGACCTTCCTCATGATCTTCCCAGACTGCAACTTCGGCACCTCGTCCACGAACACGATGCCTCCTACAAGCTGCTTGTGTTTTGCGACCTTGATCTTCATGTGCCTGTGGATATCCTCCGCGGTTGTCTTGCCCTTGTGTTCGTCCTTGAGCGTGACGTATGCACGTGGCCATTCCTGCCCATCAAGCGTGATACCAACGGCAGCCGCATCGGCGATTGGGTCGAATTCGAGGAGCACGGCTTCCAGTTCGGCGGGTGCAACTTGTAAAGCGTTGACTTTTATCAGCTCCTGGGTAGTATTAGCACTCGTTCCAATCGTGAGTGTTGAAAGGCAAAAGTGACTAGCCTTCTTTCGATCAACTATCCAGAACCATCCGTTCTTCACGATAGCAACGTCTCCAGACTTGAGCCATCCATCTGGTGAGATAGACTCCTTAGTCGCGTCTGGATTGCGCCAGTAGCCAAGACATATGTTGGGACCACGAACATGAAGTTCGCCTGGCTGTCCTTCGGGGACTTCGTTGCCGTCGTCGTCGAGAAGCATGCATTCGCAGTTGGGGTCTAGCTGGCCTACACTACCGGAGCTGTGGCTGATTAGAAGCGAGCGGTGAGATGGCGAGGACGAACTTACTCATCTACAGTACCTCCTGGCACGTGTATGGCTCCGCAAGTAACCTCCGTCATACCCCAGCCCTGGACGATCTCGCATTGTAGCTTCTTGCTGATCTCATTCTGGAGTTCCTTTGACAGTGGTGCGGCACCGCATAGGATATCAGTTACGCTACTAAGATCGTACTTCGCCGTCTCTGGTCTCTTGCTGAGCATGACCATAATTGGCGGCGCAACCTGCAGATGTGTGACTTTGTGAGTCTGAATCACCCGCAAGAATTCCTCATACTCAAACTTCTTCATGATATAGCAAGGTATCTGCAGCTTCTGTGCCATGGCTATGGTGTAGAGCTGCCCGTAAGCGTGATATAGAGGTAGGAACCCGATCCATGTTTCCTGAGGCCGGGTCTCCGCGTTCCATGGCTTATTGAGATATCTTATGAAGATTGTTTGTTCGAGGTTCGCAATCAGATTGTAGTGGCTTACTTCGACGCCCTTGGGTAGACCGGTGGTACCGGAGGAGTAGTTCACCGTCGCTGTTGTGGTGGTTGCTTCTTGTTCTGAAAGCTTCGGGAAATTGTATGCCTTGCTCTCAGCCGGGGATGGCAACATGTCCCTCCAGTCTTTGCAGCCTTCGACCGGTGCGCAAGGCTCGTCTGAAAAGAGGAAGACGCGGCCTTCTGGAAGACCGGCACCTTTCGCTGCTGCTACGGCTGCTTTGATGAGAGTTGGGTGCGCGAGAATGAACTTTGCCTCCGTATTCGCAACTTGGTGTATCATCTCTGGAAGCTGTCAGTATAATCCCTGCTGTTCTTGCATGATACTTACCAGAGACGGTGTATGCTGGGTTCGCGCCGCTGAAGATCCGCTTCGACCCCACAATTCCAAGGTAGGCTACGGGAGCGAAGATGTGGTTTGGTGTGAAGATCATGACCACCTCGCCTGGTTTACTCCCAATGCGATCCAGACCCAAGGCCAGCCGTTTCGACCATTGCAGCAACGATCGTGGTGTCAAGTGCTGGTCGGTATCTTTGGAGTCTATCCAAATCGGTGTGTCTGAAGGCGCTGCTTCCTGGGGAAACAGATAATCGAGCAGGTTGCATTTTGGAATGTCAAGTACTGGGAATGGCGACGCGAACGGCATTGTGATGGTGGTAGGGGACGAGAATGGCAGGCTCAATCAGGGTAGATGGCGAAGGCGAGACGACGACAATCGCTCTCAAGCCACACAGCGAAGAAGTCAGATGCATTCATGATGAGAGAATGGCTTATAGTGAGGATTAATCATGGGGAGGCGTTGTTGCTGCAGCCGGTAGACGAGGTATCCGCGGGGGTGCACAGACGCGTCCGCTCCTCCCGAGGATATCGAACTCCACACACCGAGCTTCCCAGGCGCGTATGTACCCCAGACAGTTCATCAACATGGCGCATCGCGAGACTGTTCCTCGCTTGCTATCGTACTGTTTCTTCCTTGACATCGGGGATTGACCACCATGTCTGAATTGAGAGACTTCAACCGCATGTTCAGCCTCGACGGCAAGGTCGCGCTCGTCACTGGAGGTAAGCAACATTAATGCAACCAACATGAACGCGTTTTAATTCGTCTCACTAGGCTCGAGAGGCCTCGGCCTTCATACTGCGACCGCTTTTCTCCTCGCCGGTGCGAAGAAAGTCTTCATCTCCGCGCGTAAGAACGAAGGAGAGCAAGGCATCGACCAAGCGGTCGAGAAGCTCAACAAGCTGCCTGTATCTGGTACAGCGGTCGGCGTCGCTGCCAATGTCGCGGACACAGAAGATATCGAGAGGCTAGTCAGAAAGGTCCAAGAGACAGATGACAAGCTGGATATCCTCGTGTGCAACGCGGGAGCCACATGGGGAGGGCCGTTCGATCCGACACCAGACTGGTCGAGCAAGAAAGTGCTCGACCTCAATGTTCGCGGTGTCTTCAACCTGGCACGACTGTGAGTATCGACCAGTAACAACATATGTGCTGCTCCTAACGCCAACAGCTTCGCACCCCTGCTCGAACGCGCTGGTACCCGTCAATCGCCCTCCCGCGTCATCATCGTCTCTTCCACAGCCGGCACGACCGTTCCCCACGTCGGTGAGCACGGCACTATCATGTACAGCATCTCCAAAGCTGCAGCCCACCACCTTTCAAGGCAGCTCGCTGTCGAACTCGGGCCCAGGAATATCACAACCAACACCGTTGCACCGGGCTTCTTCCCCTCGAAACTCGCAAACGGGCTGATCGAGATGCTGGGCGGGCAGCAAGAGCTGGAGGATAACAATCCGCGAAAGCGGCTGGGCGAGCCAGAGGACATCGCTGGCGTCATGGTATTCCTGTGTAGCCCAGCAGGAGCATACATTAATGGGGAAGACATTGCTGTGGATGGTGGTATGAGACTTGCATCAGGACGCCATTCTAAGCTCTAGAAGTGTATGGAATTCGTTCGACATTTGCTGTGTATCTACGTACATTTAAGCCCCGTTCGTACCGTCTTTCTTGCCTCCTTCAAATCTACTTAACTGCTTCGCCATGCTAGTGTGCGCCATCATCGCCCGCATGTTATCATCGCAAAACTCCGGTCCTGCATTGAAGTAGAAGTTGTTGCCGTTCACCTCCACCGTCAATCCCCAATGCTCATCCGCAGTCTTCTTCACACCTTTCGCGTCCACGATCTCGCCTCCGTCCACTAGTTTCACCACAGTATCGACCACCGTCTCCATGGGTGTGAAGTACTCCAGAGGGAAAGACTTCCATTCTTCCTGGCTCAAAAGACCAGTGTTGACGGTTCCTGGACACGTAGTAAATGTGCGTATCCCTTCGTGGTGGTATGCGACAGTGATGGCGCGATTGAATTGTATAACGGCGGCTTTGCCTCCACTGTAGATTGGGCAGAACTCTGATGGGTATAGTCCGCCACAAGACGCTGTCATGACCAACACGGGATCCAAGCTTCCATGCTTTGCCATGGCCTTGCGGAAGTAATGTAAAGCCAGGTATGATGTGTCGATCACCGCCTTCAAGTTGATGTCTACGCTTAGCTGATTTGGTGGTGGAGGAGGTGGACCATCTAGGTCATGTTTCGCATAGAAGTTGTCGCGCTCCACAATACCAGCGTTCGCGTATACAAAGTCTAACCTTTGAGATGGGCTGTAGCTGGCTTCGAACGCGGAGACAAGCGAAGAGTAATCAGTGACATTTGTCTGGTGGAACTGGGTATTCTTCAGCTTGCTAGCTGCTTGTTTGCCGGCTTCGGCGTTCATGTCCAGGAGATGGAGTTCCCAGTCTTCGTCAGTCCGATTCGAGAGAGCTGTTGCAACAGCTAGGCCCATGCCTGATGCTCCGCCGGTGATCAAAGCGACCTTCTTCGACATCTTGGGAAAAGCGTTCGTGATCAAGACCCCCTTTGGAAGTATTGCGTATATGGGACAATTAGGAGCTGGATATCAGGTCGACAAATTAAATTGCAATAGTAGTTGATATGTCAATTGCACTGTTGTATAATATAGGCTATCGGTGTGATACTGTCCATCTAGGTGAGTAGCTCAAGCAGCCGCCTTACGAAAACGCAGAGACGTCCCGTGTGTGCCTTCTCCGCATTTACTAGGAAAGCATCTTCCGAGTTGGCAGCTTGTAGTGATGGTTAATTGGCAATCCCTTGAAATATCTCTAAGCATAGCCGTCATGCTTCCTCACGTCGCGGTTTGCTTCAGCGGTGACCATTTCCACTCTTACGTCAAAAGCCGATCCCACCTGCAATATGGATCACGCTCGTAGGCATCGTCGCGAACTCTAACTTTACAGCATCTGGCATGACTCTCGTTCAACCTGCGCGCGTGATAGACATGATTCAAAGTTGTCGTACGCAGCTTCGCCATGGCCGTCACACAGCATGACGCGGGGCGATGCGGGGAAAGTGGAGACGCTGACTCGACGCGTGCACGCGCCGAAGACACGGAAAACAAACCGCGAGCGCCATCGCCATCATCCGGACAAACGGTCTTGCGACACCACGTCGTCGCCAAGCTAACTTCTCCTCATGCAGTGCTACCCATGGCTGCAATGCGTTCGCGCAGCCGACAGCAACCGCCACCAGGCTGCAGACCTCCGGAGTTGACACTTACCACTTTAGTTAAGAGGTGAGATTACTTAGCCAGCGCTTCATACGCGTGCGCCGTCTCTCGAGTACAAGTTTAATATACCCTTCTTGGACCCTACATTTCGTGCTTTCTTACGATATTCTTCCTCATATTTCGCCCATAATGACACTACAATACTCTGCCAAGAACCTACCAAAGCAAATCTTCATCAACAATGAGTATGTTGACTCAAAGTCGCCGAAGAAGCTCACCTTACACAACCCGAAGAACGGCGAGCTGCTTGCAGATGATGTGCCCTTAGCAGGTGAACAAGATGTCGACGCTGCAGTTGATGCGGCGGACAAGGCGTTCCCAGCGTGGAAGAAGATGAGCGCGAATCAGCGCCGAGGTATCTTGAACAAGTTTGCAGATCTCATCGAGCAGAACGCAGAGGGTATCGCACAGTTATCGAGGATCTCATTAGGTGCGCCAGCAGCCTTCGGTGCTTTCGAGATCGGTCTTTGCGCAGAGGTGCGTGCAGCTTCCAGAGGATCAAGTATGTCTACTAATGCCACTCCAGGTTTTCAGATACAACGCTGGCTTCATCGACAAGTTCGGCGGCGAGTCTTGGCCCCAGGAGGACGGCTTCCTCAAGATCGTCCGCAACGAGCCTCTCGGTGTCACCGCAGGCATTGTACCTTGGAACGGTCCCATCGGCACCATTGGACTCAAGGCAGCCCCAGCACTCGCCACAGGAAACTGCTTTATTCTCAAGCCCTCTGAAAAGACACCCTTCTCGTCGCTGGCTCTCGGTACGCTCATCAAAGAAGCCGGTTTCCCACCTGGTGTCTTCCAAATCCTCTCTGGAGATGGAAGCACTGGTGCTTTGATCGCGAGCCACATGCGCATCCGTAAGGTCAGCTTCACAGGATCTATCGCAACTGGAAAGAAGATCCAAGAGATGGCCGCAAAGTCGAACCTCAAGCGTGTCACTCTCGAGCTAGGAGGAAAGTCACCCGCCGTCGTATTTGACGACTGCAACCTCGACAACGCGGTGACCTGGACCGCCAACGCCATCACTGCCAACACAGGCCAAGTCTGCTTCGCCGCCAGCCGCGTCTACGTACAAGAAGGCATCTACGAAGCCTTCATCGAGAAGTACAAGCAAGCGATGAAAGACAAGACAAAGGAGATTGGCGACCCAGACGAGACATCGACAAACATCGGGCCTTTGGTCGACGAAGCCCAGTTCAAGCGCGTACAAGGCTTCATCGAGCGCGGCCAACAAGGTGGAGGCACCCTCGCAGTCGGCGGCAAGCGCATTGGCACATCAGGCTACTACCTCGAGCCCACCGTCTTCACAGACGTTGATCCCACTTCTGAGATTCACTGCGAAGAGATCTTCGGTCCCGTCTCCGTCGTCAAGTCCTTCAAGACAGAGGAAGAGATTATGCAGTTGGCGAACAACACAAACTTTGGCCTTATGGCTGGTGTGTTTACCCAGGATATCAACAAGGCGTTGCGCGTAGCAAGTGACTTTGACTCAGGCATGGTTGGTGTCAACTGTGTGAGTCTGATGTTCACCATGACACCGTTTGGTGGAAGCAAGGAGAGTGGATTAGGCAGGGAGTGTGGCGTCCATGCGCTGAGGGCGTTTACGGAACCGAAGACGATTATGATAAACATGAACTATTGAGCTGTCAGTTAGCTGTTTGGGTAAGACTTCAATAGGTATTCTAGTTTTCATTGCTGTCTCTTCATCAGAGCGCTGGATATAGTAGTGCAGTCTATAGAAATGCCTCTAAAAATCCTCCTTCTTTGCACACTATTGTGCGGCACGATTGCATGGCACGTCACGTCTCATAGCTACGGGATAATCTTGGCCTTCCTCATCCTGTCAAAGACAGTTCCCCAAGTCTGCTTCGGATCCCTCTCCTCGGTGAATCCTGTTGAGTACATCTTGGTCATATCGAATTGACGATCAAAGTCGAACTTGGTCATGAGCATCGATTCGGCAATCTGAAGTCCACGACCACCGTCCACATGGCCATGTTGCAGCCCATACTTCTTCTCCATTGCCAGCCATGTCTCCATGTTGTCGTTGATGAACTTGCGCACATCAATGGGAGTGGCACCAGGCCCAGTGGCCTTGAGGCCAAAGTAGGAACACAGAATAGGCCATTTCTTCTCCCAGTTTGAAGGTGTCTTGGAGTCGGCGACGTTGTAGGCCTCTCCCTTCTTGGTGTTGGGGCAGAGTGTGAGGTGGATGGTCTGGCGCGCAATCATGTCGCTGCTGCTATCGTTGCTCAGCGCTTTCCAGACTCCTTGGTTGCCAGGGAATGGGCATTCAGCACCCTCGCCATGGATCTCCTTGTAGAGGCTCAGATAGATACCCAAGGATGTACCCAGCGAGTAGAAGTTCTGATTGGGCACGTAGCCAATGATGAGATCGGGACGAGTCTCGATCCAGCTCCATTTCTTGTCTTTGGCGTAATTGGCGATCCAGTCGTTCTGTGCGTGGTAGAACAGCATCTCGGCGTACGGGCTGGGTATGCGGGGGTAGGATTCTTTGAGCGGCGGTGGAGGGAGTTTGGGCCCGGTGGTGCCCGGAGGAGCGACTTCATCGAACCACGGAAGTGCAGCGAGGAGATGGCAGCCATCTAATGTATATTAGTCTTGAGTGTCCAACACCTTCACAAGAATGGGATAGGACTTACAGATCTTCGAGCCGATTTGCAACACAACGTATTCCAAGTTCGGGCACAGCTTATCCATAGCTGTCACTGCCTTGGAAAACATTTCCACAGCCTCGTCCAACTCCTTTTGAACATCCATGCCCGCCTTGTACGCAAAGTAGTATACGTGCGTCACCTCCCCGACGTCCGGTATCTTCTCTACTAGCTCCTTGTTGAGACTCTCTTGGCTATGCGCGAGTAGGTCAATGCCAGAGACCAGGTTTAGGCGCGGGTCCTCTGGCCATTGCGTCTGGTTTGGGGCGAGGGGGCGATTGTTGAGTCCATGAACCCGCTTCCATATGTTCTTCTCGGGATAGTCGGAGAGGATCTCGTTGACGAAGGACCATCCTGCATGATCATTATCAGTATGAAGCTCATCTATAGTCTTTTGAGGGGTTTACTGACCGGTCACGCCGGATGCGCCAAACACGACAGCTGACTTTGACATTCTTCAAGACGTGCTAAGGATGAGCTTTGAGAAGAGTGAGACCTCAAGGATAATGAAGCTTATAAGCAGGGCGAAGCGATAAGGCACCGGCACGGCGTGTGCCAAAAACTAGCCCTTGCAGAGACTACATGTTGTCTCTTTGCATGGGCGACCAGTATGGAAGGTGGGGTTGCGATTGGGATTGCGATAGTGGAGACATGAAGTCTAGATGGGTTCTCTCCTACGGGAGTTTTCCCATACTGCCCATGGGGTGTACTAAACGTTAGTAGTACGGACACTTGTGCGTAAGCTACCTACCGCGCGCATAACTTCAAACAGCCGCTCTACACTCTACAGATCGTCAGCGCTCTTCTGAAGATCCCGCGTCGCATCACGAGGAATTCAGAAGGAGGCCCGGTCGCCTCGGCGGGCCATCCGGTACCCATGAGTTGTGGGGTTGCCGCGAGGAGCGCCCGAGAATATAGCCGTTTTCGAGTCATCCCAACCTCTTTTGGACGCGTCGCCGATTCAGGGTATGCAAAATCCTAGATTGAGGGGCCCGTTGAGTGTATGCGACATGTGCGCGGCGCGTCGACGTCTGATGAGGAGCTCATAGGACAATGTCGTGGTGGAGGAAGGAACGATGAGGAGACGTGCTAAAACAATTTCCCAGGGTCCATGACGTCGGCGACGCGCCGGGCGAGAAGGTAAGCGTCCCCCTGACACATCTTGCGCAGCCAACACAACACGACCGCATCATCGATATGTCCAACGCTATGCAAAAGATGGTATGAGGAGAGCCAGATTATCAATTAAGCTACAGCATTCTAGGTGCTCAGTGGAACTCGTTCTTGTCCGCGTACACGTCGTTCTCGAGAAAGACCTCCACCTTGTCCGTCATCTTCGGTGTCAAATCCTCGCAATAGAAGATGCAGAGCAATCCTACGATACCAAAACTCAGACTACTGAGTGCCACGATCTTTAGCGCGTGCGCATAGCTCCATTGGAACGCCAAAGAAGCCGCGCCTAGTGCCTCTGGACTTGTACCTGGCACTTCGGCGATGGCGGCTGCGCCTAGGGGCAAAGCGGCAAGTAAAGCTTGCGCGTTCTCCAACGACATACCCGCCTTCACAGCAGCAGCGGGAACCGTCGCAGCAGCACGAGTGGTCTGGGTGTTGGTGAGGATAGTGGTATAGATGGCTTGAGCCAGCGACCCTCCTGCGTAACGAGCCATACCCGCCAAACCACCCGAGAAACCGAGATCTTGTTGTGGCACGCCAAGTTGCGTGAACGCGATGGACTCGTACTGTGCCCATCCGAAGAAAGAGGCGTTGATGCAGCAAAACGCGATCATCAAGTTCTGGTTGAACGGGGTGACAAGGCCCATCAATGCACCGAAAAGCACCATGCCAGTCCAGGTACCGATCAATGTCCATTTCCAGTGTCCGATCACGTTGCCGAAAGCCATGAGGCATAGTGATCCGAAAACAAGGCCTACGTTCGGCGGCAGTGTGAGCAGCAGTTCGGTACTCCGCGAGACGTTCGGGCCCAGGTAGAAGACATTAACCATTGTCGGCCAGATGATGTTGACTGAGTAGTAGAACATGGTGACGATGAACGCTACGATGAACGGCGCTGTGAATTCTCTTCCTTTGTGGCTCCGGAATAGGTGTGGCGGGCAGAGTTTGAAGCGGGTGTTCGAGAGCGTCTCCCAGACTCCGAATGCAGCGATTAGGATGAACCCGACTACCATCGGTGCAATGACGGTCAAGTCTGAGCTTGGCTTGTATGTGGTGTTGATGATACCAACAAGCGCAAGGCAGATGCCTGGCACAATGAGTGCAGTGCCCACATAGTCGAGGCCGCGGACTGCCTCGGACCATGGGACGCCCTTGGGGTGCTTCGGTGGCTTGTAGAGCAAGAAAAGAGATATGAAGGATATGGATTGAGCAATCAGACCAGCCCAGTATACCCACTGCCACGCATTGACGTCGATGGCGTACTGTGAACGAATGTCAGCTAGTTCGCTCAGCAGGTCGAAGCACTGCACTCACTCTTCCAACAATAGGACCAATTATGACAATAAGGAAGACGAAACCATCCGAAAGACAGATACCAATGTGCCGGAACTTGTTCGGTAGAAGTTCTGTAACAGTCAGACCCACTGGCATGTCAAACACGACGCAGCTCACTCACCAGGAATGCTGCACATGGCCATCTGCGCGAATCCGGCTCCAAATCCGGTTATAGCCAGTCCAGCTGTGAAGTGGTCTGCTCCTTTCGCTGTCGCGGTCACGATGAAACCGACGCAACAACACGCATTACCAAACAACAAGAACCACCTCCTTCCAAAGAGATCGGAGTTTGCGCCCGCAAGAAGGAAGCCAATCGCGTTGGCTGTTGTGTAAGCGGGTATGAACCACGCGCTCGCTGTCGGAGCACCAAATTGAGTGGCAAGCCGAGCCATCATCGCTGAGGTAGTAGGTACAGGCCAAAAAGAAAGACCGAAAGTCGAAGACAGGATGAAGATGACGAGCCATGTCTTTGGTGTTATAGTGGTTGTATCTGGGGTGACGAATGTTCGTGGTGGTGTCGCTGCAACGGTTTCGATTTGCTCAATGTCTCTCTTCTCGTCCGATGGCCGACGCAGGCCGCTCTCGTGGACGGCAGTTACTGCCATGGTGGTTTGGTGAAAGGAAAGTCGCCTGATGCAGGTGCGACTTTGTGTAACTGGGGTGAGGGATCGTCGTAGAGAGCCCACTTATGGCTCGCATATATCCTTCGCTGGGTCTTGTAGACATGCACAGGTCACATCCCATCAAGCCACTGGTCTGACACCTGGATTTTCCTCTAGCCCCGCATCTCGGATACACAGAAACACAGCTAATTATGCCACTGGGTTGTTCTATTGGCTAGATTCCTCCATCCTTTTTTCAGCATTTTGTTGCACGTTCTGGAAATCCGGGGTAGTGGATGTGGATGTGGGTATCCGAGACTGACTGCGGAGAAGAATTGCGCCACATCATGGCGCTTGACTGGAAGTGGTAGTGGGCGATCAAGGGGTGAGGATCGTCTTCACCTGGAACAACGTTTCCGTCGGTACTGAGCTATGCGTGAAAGCTTATTTCCGACATCCGTGCGTTCACCTCGAGATTGCAGCCATGAACATCATTGCACGTGCGAAATACAGGGTGTACTGTGCACTTTGAGCTAGACGAGACCGACATGCGACACCACGGTCCTGAAGTCCTGGAATTGGCCAAGGGTTGGGCTGGTTTGGTTGTGTTGAATAGTTTACCAGTCTGCAAACCATATATCTGCATTGAGGCATGAAAGAGACACGGAGGACAAACTCAGCGTGAACGTTATTCAGTCGCAGAGAAACCATGTGTAAATAGACAGATATGGTGGTCTTTCGATCCAATTCACCACAACGCCTACTACCTTGTATCTCCGCCTAAGACCAGATAGCGCCCAGACTACGCATCCACTCTACGCGTAATCCCATCCGTAGCATCGCAATCAGGAATCGCTTTTCCAAAGCAGATCATATCATGCCTAGACTCATTTCATCAGCAAACCAATCCACACTAACCACCACCCTCGCCGATATCACCCGCAAAAGAAACGGAAGGAAGAAAGACTCACCCAGCCATGACCTGGATGCCCTTCTCCAGATCCATAAACTTCTCCGCATCCGGCATGAGTGCAGCCCGGTACTCGTCGCTCCCAGCAAAAGCCTCCCAGTCTTCCCACTTCTTCACCCAGATTTGACTGCAAGCATCGTAGTCTAGTAGATCCATGCCCAAGCTCTGCAGTTTGCCTTTGAGGCCTGGTGATTGGTAGTGCTGAACGTAGCGTTGTATCTTGACAGCGTGGAACTTCTTGCATGCGACAGTGAGGTCGGAGTGGATGTGGTTGTAATGCTTCTTGAAGAATTCATCGGTAACATCGGGGTGTTTGCGAAAGAAGAAGGAGAGCTTTATACAGGCTAGAGGAGAGCGTCAGGACATGATATATTCCAGTGACGAGAGGATGGACGGACGCTGGTAGTTCTCTTGTTTGTCCCATTCAAACTCGGGATTTGCGAAATCATGCTGCTGAAGTGTTAGTCATGCATGTAAGACAAAAAGGGCGGAGAGCATACATTGATAGTCTTGTAGGTCATATTAGTGTGTAGTTGGCGATCGTGTAAGAAAGTCGAAGGCTCTGGGGTTGTCGGCTCCCAGGACCTAAAGTACCTGTGTATTTCACAAGTACAGCCACTAACAGTGACCCTGCATAACCGACCGAGGAGAATAGAGCAAGCCAAGTTCAGCGTGCGGGGTCTAGTATATGGCGGTACTACCAGTGGCACGATCGAAGCAGGCTGCCTAATGTCAGGTTGTACAATTGATCGCTGGTCAGTGGTATGAGCGCCTCACAGTATGTAGGCATCGCGATGACGGTCCTCTGTTGATATCGTAGAACTAAAGCTGGACTAAATAAATAACGTGTCTAGAATACAACAACCTGTCTCTTCTCCGCTTTACCAGCCTCCATATCAGCGACCATCTGCGGCAAATCATCAATCTTGCGGAACTCGACTTCTGGTTGTATGCTGCGGAAGGTCAGAAACTGTTTTCACATGTCAAAAGAAGTAACATACCTGTGCTTGCCAGTGAAATCCACAGCCTTCTTCATTCGCTGCGGAATACCCGTGCTGTCGGCCTTGATGCGGTACCGTCCTGTTGTTAAGTCGAAGGTGTTGATGAAGTCCAGTCCTTTCGGTGCGATTCCAATGACCATGAGTAGTCCGCCTGTTCTCAAGACATCTGGGGCGCCGGCGTATGCTGCATTCGATGCGCTGTAGACCGCCGCTGCGTGGCACCCTTTGCCTCCAGTGAGCTTCTTGATCTCTTCGAGATAATCCTTGTTCTTCATGGAGTTGAAGACAGCTTCCGCGCCGACCTTCTTCGCCACATCGAGTTGGTTGTCGTTGATATCGAGACCGATAGTCTTGATACCCATCTGTCTACTGT